TTGGCGTGTTGTGTTGAAAAAATGACTGTACTTATGGCAAAACGAACCCACAATTTCTAACTTCTGATTGAGCAATAAATAACAGTTAAAATGCACCAGAATGCGGTATTATACATACAGTTTTTTAAAATTTTCCACACCGTGGGAGGGGGACATCCACTCCCACACCCTCCCCCCTCGGGGACTTCGCCCCCTCGTGTCCGCTTACTGCCCCCCTGGCATTTTGCTCAGGCTACGGCCCTGGTGGTATAAAAGCAACGGGGATTATCCGAGATACATGTAGCCTAAAACGAGGCTGTGTGCCATGCATGGCGTTATACGGAACTTTAAAACGTATTGGAATCAGCGGGGCAGAGGGAAAAGTTTTTTCCATTAGGGCCGTCTTAGAAAGCAAAACAAAGTGATACGCAAAACAGTGAATTCGTAGCGGTTGAACAAAATGTAACCAAAAGCTGGTGGATATACTTCGTCTATAACTCTAGATTTATGTGGCACCGTACTCGTTAGTCTGCCATTATTTCTGACCCCACATTCCTCCAAATCCCGCGACTTCTCGCTTGGTCTCACAGTATCACGCGAGACTTTTAGTTAGGTAAATCTCGAATGTTTTCTATTACAACAAACCTCTCATATGATTGAGGATATACCGGGTTGTGTGACCACCTGATGAACTGGCAGTATTAAAACAGACGTCGAAAATGATATTTCGTTTCACTGGGTAATTAAGTTTGAAAAGATTTTAATTAAAAATACAATATGAATTTTTAATTAAAGTATGTCGATTATGTTGAAAGAAAAGGTTATTAATTACCGACATGAATACGTCTTTCACTTGGAAACCATTCCGCATATGGAAGTCCGTCCAGTTGGTATGAGTGAAATCGTATCTTGTCCAATTAACTGCTGAAACATTCAAAACCTGATCGAAAAGGCTTCCAACTTCAGTCTCGTTATTGGCTTTCAAGCTACTGGCTTTAAATGGACTGTTGGTGCAAAGAGTTAACGCTGGAAACACCAGTGTATCATTCGGAATGATCTCAATATTGACTGTTGCTGGGTTGGACCGGTAATAATCAATTCTGTCTTTAAGGTGGTAAACCAGACCTCCAAATCCTGCCAAAACGAAGCAAAGCCAAACAGCGCGCCTTGCGTACGAATATCGCGGGTTAGCGGATTGTTTCAATCCCAGAATGCTGACTTCTGCTGCAAAGGTGGATAATTCGTTTTTGGCTGAAGTTTCTTCCTCATCTGCCTCCCCAGTAATGCTTCTACTGCTAACACCTTTGAGATCACTGTCTTTGACATGAAGAGTCGGATAAACAGTAGCAGGATTCATTCTGTCTGCGAGGTGAAACTGTTAACATTGCTTGTGAAAATCTCTGAAAACTAACCTGACGCCTTATTCCTTCCCCGCACACATACACGCGGATGACTTTTTCGACAGTCAATTACCAAAACGAAAACCAAACAAAGATTAAATGGTGGTTCCGTATAAATATTTTGTAATTAGTCCGTGTCTTTTGGTTGAGATTAAGCGAACAAAATGTCTCTAGCCCTCCAAAGTGTTTGAAATGTGTCACTAATGTATTTGAACATTTGTGGGATCAATATCACAGCGCTTTTAGCGTCATCTTCTCTCGCCCACTCAACGAGCACATTGATGACAAGCTGTTTACTGAAATCAATAGAGATAGCATAATACCAGCACTTGTATATGCTTTAAACGTGTAAACTGGAGTTAATAACAGAATCAATATTTGTAATGTCATTCGTTTTGTGACTTCACCAGGAAATCTGGAATCAGGGCTATGGTACATGTGATTTCTAGGGTTCTGAGGAGGGGCGATCCAGAGATATATTCTGACAGCCTTCCAAATCTTCTTTGTTGATCCATTCTCCATTTTTTGACCTTCAAAAAAATTAGATACCCGTCAATATAAACTTGAAAATCTGACTGTCTTCAGGAAGACCTACATCTAGAAGACAGCCTCAATCCACCCCTGCTTAGCAACCCCCTATGGTTCAAACTCGCTATTTAGGACGAGAATCTTTTCACCCTAAATGTTGTCCTGGAAACTAATTTAACATACACAAACGGGGATTTAATCATTTGGTTGTGCAATACAATTCGTGCAATTCGTATTTAGAGAAAATAACAAGAAAATACAAGTGGATAAAATTTTGACAGATTTTATTCCTTCTTTCACAACCTTTAATAGCTTACCATTACTTCTGTTGCACTCCTCTCCAAGTGCCGTGGAATTTAGCTTAATTTTACGCAACTCACGAGACTCAGCCGCCCCAGAAATCAAGCAAATGTACAATTATATATTCGAAGATAAAATGGCCGAATAACTTTTCAAATGTTATCTGATTTTGTCGGATGTTTTGATTTTATTTATTCATGAATAATACTTCAGATCAAAAGCTTTACAATTTTAGGAAAAAAAATCAATCATGACTTTGTAAATCCCACACAGAAGCGACAGAGCTGATAACGTGTCGAGAGTACTCGGTACATGAAATCGTAAGAAAAACATGTTTAAGTTGTGATAAAAGAGCTTTTGGACTCTACCATTCACCAAATTAATGAAAAATTTTTGAAATTAACTACATTACTTTATTACTTTATACCATTAATGAATGCTAACAACATCGTCTAATAAACATAATCTACAGCTTATCTGTAATCACAGAAACACATCTGTACCTGTGCCACGTTCCATTTAATTTGATTTGTTTTTTTTCTTTAAATAAATAAACGTTAAGTAAACACAATACTGAAATGCTTAATTAAATTAACGATACCACATGGCACGCTAAACGATGACGTGGTGCTATTTTGAACACTGTACATGTATATACACTATTACTTTACAACAGATGCTGAAGATGTGACAATGAGTAAATATTAATAATAATAATATTGTATATTGTGTGGAATAATAGGTATAAGGTTACTGGTTTTATCATTTGCAATATAATGAAATCATTTTATAAGAGCTGCATGACAAATACACGTGGTATACACGAATATAAAATAAAATAATAATTAAAAATTCGATCATGCGTTAAAATAAGTTCCCACAAATTCCCTAAATACTTGGCCATCTGTAGCCCTTTTTCACGCCAGAAATCTTTGACAAACATAACCCACAACAGAAATCAACTATCTCCACCAACGTCGTCAAAGTGCTACCCAGAACGAGGCCATATTAACTTTCGACTTCGCAGTTAACTTGACTGTACTTCTTTACTTTATAGTTCATCAGCGATTTCTCACCACATTTTACATGTGGTGGAGAGGGGGGAGATTCTTGAAATGAAATATTTGGTGTTGATAATAATCCTTGGTTATCTACAGAATGCAGTCAGGAGTTAAATGTTTCACAAGTAAAAGAAGCCATCCTGGATATTAGATGATAAGGAACAGTCGGAGTCGAAGTCGATAAGGAGTCGATACACAATATGGAATGTCCTTTAGTGTCTCTATTTCAGTTTTTCGCACAAACTACCTCGTTCATACTCTCTTTCGATCTTTCAGGCGTAGTTGTAATCCTTATCCTTGTCAAATGCATCAAATATATATCGTGCGCTTTATTACTTTTTCACACCGAGAAGGTTTGAAATGCACAACCCGAAAAAGAAATCAAATATTTCCACCAGAGTCATCAGTGTGCTTCCCAGAACGAGGCCTAGGGCGCCACCAATGTCTGCCATTAACGCCAACGTACTGTAAGCTTCCTGTTGTTCAAGTTCCTCGTACGTCATATCTGCGTAGAAGATTTTCGTGGCGACAATGTCTTTCTCCACCTCTTCCTTTGTGATGTTCAAAAGATGCTGTAAGAGCTGCATTGACGAATTTGCTATAAATGAACTGGAAAGAGTGTATTCGAATCTGTAACTCTCACACTCTACACTGCAGTCACACTGGCGGATAAACCGTGTCTTCTGCCTCGTGAGATTGAAGACACATTGGAATACGTCTTGAGGGGAACACTCTCTGTAACCCGGGACATGTGGGTAGTAAACTAAACGACAACCGCACCGCCTCATGGTGAGGTTATGGCTGAAATGAACACGTGGATATGATTATCTGTGTATCCTTGCATGTGCACTGGATGCATACTGCAGTAGTTGGTGTATGGAAAGACGCGTAGTGTACGGAAAACTGAAAGACGGAGAAAAAAGTGAAGCGCGGGAAAATAAACTTTGAAGGAAAAAATGGATGCATTTATCTGAAAAGAACGAACGACAGAAAAATGAGTAAAAAAAGAATTTAGAACATAGATAAACAAGCAAACAGCAAACTGAAATATGAGCAGCGACGTTATATGTATTGTATATACGTGCACAACAGTTATCTGTATCGTACTATATATTTAACCTCCCTTCCATACCAGTACAGCTGAACGTATACGTACAAGCATTCCGCCTCGCAGTTGAGTTTACTGTACTTTCTAAAGTAAGCCAATGTTTTCTCACCACATTTGCCATGCGGAGGTGGAAGGTTCTTCAACTGAAATTTTATTTATCGGTGATATATTACATGCTTAGGAATGAAATATTATCAGACAATAAATTATATATGCTTGAAATAAGGGATTTAAGTAGAAGTTTTAAAATTCAGCACAGTTCAGTTAATAGTTTCACTAATTTCAAAAAAGAATTTTCTGTATTATTTTACTGTACCTCATAATGGTGTATCTTGGTTCAATGGCAACCGCTTTCTTCTTATTAAACATTGAATCATCTTATGAGAACGAAGTGACAAATTGTTAAACTTATTCCTGGAAAAACACCCGAGGGAATTTTTGACTATGCGAATTGTTGGGGATATTTAACATCAGTACGCCCCTAAAATCCCGGATTCGAGCTATCTGACTACCAGTAATCTGCACAGCAATATCTATTGAAAACAATTCACCAAATGTTAATTTCAGCTAGTCGGACAACAGCAGTTTGGCCAAGTCACTTTTTCTCTTATATGAAAGCTATTTTTCCATATTTCTATACCTACATGTTTAAGTTTGATGACTACGTTCGTACAACCAGGTGGTAACAATACACCGAGATCCATGGCGGGGTGGTCTTCAGGATCATGGAGAAGAATCTGGTAACAATTAGATATCATAACGTTGTGGAAAATAATGTACATATTAGGCTGATATAGGCATATATATTATTTATGTATTTATAATTGTATTGTATATATATATTTGTATATTATTATTAGGGGAGACCGGGGCTAGTTTGCCCAGTTAGACACTTTTGACCTTGTAGAGCCAACTAGGAATGGGTTGGAGTAACAAAACCGGTTTCAAAGTAAGCCCCATGAACTAAGCTACGTATGCAACGTCATTATTTTTAAAATATAATGCCAGATGGCTCACAATTTGACAAAAAACGCAGTTGACGTCAAGGGGGCCAACTTGCCCCGCCACGGGGCAACTTGGCCCCCCTACACGAAAATGAAGTATATATCCCATGTAAGCGCCTTGAAATACATTTTTATACATTTTTAATTTATTAAATTAATTTTTGAGAGCCTTTGATGAATAAATAGTTCAAATGAGGCAGATTAATTGAGGTTTCCGTACGTCACGTTGTGGGGGGGGGGGGGGGGGGGGGGGGG